TATAGGGTCTCACTAAGTAGCCCTGGCTGGCCTAGAACTCATTATGTAGACCAGGCTGACCTTGAATTCAAAGAGATTGGCCTGCCTCTACTGGGATTAAAGAAAGTACTGGGACTAAGGATGTGCACTACCACACTGGATTCAGTTTTCTTTTTTATTGCATTGATTGATTGATTGATTGATTGATTGATTGATTGATTGATTGATTGGTGTGTATACGTGTGTGCCCACATGCCACAGAATCCATGTGGAAGTCAGAAGACAATTTTGATAATCAATTCTCTCCTTCCACCATATGGATCCTGGGAATGGAACTCAGGTCTTCCTGAGTTTGGTGGCAAGCAAACCCACTGAGCCATCTTGCCAGCCCATTTTCCAGTTTTCTCTGCTGTTTTCAATGATCACATAGTACTTTGTTATTTTGTTTTTATGTGTGTGACTGTATTGCCTGCATATGTGTAAGTTCACCCATGTCATGCAATGCCTATGGAAGTCAGAAGAGGGCATTTTATTTCCCTGGAACTGGAGTTACAGATGGTTGTTAGCCACTCTGTGGGTGCTGTGATCAAACCTAGGTCCTCTGCAAGAGCAGCCTCTTAACCACTGAGCCATATCTCCAGCCCCATCACATAGTACTTTTATAATCCCAAAAGAATAATGTATTATAAACTATGTAATTTTACTTGAAGAGTTTGAAGGAAATTTCAGAATCATCCAAGTAGCTTTGACCTTTGAGTTTTGCACTGCGATACTCCAGAACCTGATTTCAGTGTGTTTACCTGTGGATTTGTAACCATAAAAGCAGAATGTGGTAGGGAAAAATCCCAATCACGTCAGATTTCAGGATTGTGCTTTCTCTGTAAAGAAATACTCAATTGCTTTGATTGTTTCCTGGTTGCCAGCCCTGTCCTCCACCATGGCACAGAGCTGGGCAGGGCTGGGGACAGGGCACACTGGGAAATGTTATCTGACAGCTGGAGGTAGGAGGAACCAGATATGAAGGAAGGACCAGGCCTTAGAAGTCAGAGCACTGGGGTGAGTGTTAGGGCTGGGAATAACATTAAAATAACAATTAAGCACTGATTAAGCACCAACATTATTCCAGGAGTCTCATGTTATTACTGACCTCATAAACTTTGTAGGATGAGCATGAACTACCTTCTAGGAAAGAGAAAGTGTGGTGGTGCATAGAGCAGAGTTTGGAATGCACTGGAATTTTGAGACTGTATATCCCTGGTTGGCCTAAAACTCACTGTAGAGATCTGGCCAACCACAGACTTGGCTAGATCCTTGTGCATCTGCCTCCTAAGTACTGAGAGCACAGCTGTGTGCCCTCCACTGAAGAGTAGATTTTGAATGCTGGGGCTGAGTTCCCATGTCCCCCTATGAAATGGGAAGATGCTATGTAGTTTGGAGGACTAAATGAGGCCGTATATATGAAAATGATCTTTAATACTGAAGACAGTATCACATTACTGTCTTAATGTATTTCATGTTTGATTGCTACATATGACTGCATTCCTAAGGCCAGGGAAATGGCTCAGTGGGCAACTAGTACTCCCTGAGTTTAATCCGTGGTTTGCATGTGCTAGATGGAGAGAACTGATTTCTACCAGTTGTCCTGTGAAATGCATGGTCTAAACACAGAATACAGATACACACAAAGATTGTTTTACTAGCTGAGTGTGATGGCACATACCTTCTGCCATTTCATCACTTGGGAAGTGGAAGCAGGAAGATCAGGAGTTTAAAGCCAGTCTTCTCCAGAGGGCAAGATCAAGGCCAGTCTACATTTGTGATACTCTGCCTCAAAAAAGAAAAGAGTCGATGACCTTTATTTCTGTAATTTTTGGATTCTCTCTGTAAAAGTTCACATACCAGGCCTAGCTGGTCAGCAACGCCTAGGGATCTTCCTTCTTTAACCTCTGAGATAAGAAGTGCAGGTATTACAGGCTTGAGCCTGCTTACCCTGCTGGGAGACTGTCCTTCTCATGACAGCATGGCCCAAGAATGAAAGGAGTGGAAGGTCTGAACATTCATGGTGTGCACAGCCTGGGGGTCACTGAGATGCATGTCTTAAATTCTAGTGAACAGTTAAATCCAAATCTTTTCTGATATCCAGTCCCCCTAGAGAGGATATTTTCTTTCTCTTTCTTTCTATTCTTTTCCTTTTGTTGTTGTTGTTGGTGGTGGTGGTGGTGGTGGTGTTGGTGGTGTTTTCCCGTTATTTTTTGAGACAATGTCTTAACATTTAGCCAATATGGGCCTCAACCTCACAGAAATCCACATGCCTCTTCCTCCCAACTGCTAGGATTAAAGATCTGTACTAGCAGGCCTGACTCCTTTTCTATTTTTTTTTTCTCTTTCTGAGGCAAAAGTGCAAGTTTAAGGCCAGCGTAGGCTACATCTACATACAAGGCCAGCCAGAATATGTAACAAGATCCTGTTTAAACATAAAAAACACATTTGAAAAGCTGAAAAGCACAAAGAAAAGTTCACTTATTTTTACTTGTAGTACATACAAAATAGAGCAGACATACTGCAGTTACATTTCTGAGGAAGATTTCTGTCAGGAGAAGTGATCACAGTGGCCATTTCTCTCCCTTTCCCAGGGCTGCCTTTCCATGGCTTCTGAAAGACCTTTGATCCTGTGCTGTGTAGAGGCCTGACATCCAGGCTCCCACAATGCTGAGAGCACCTTGTTGGTCCTGCAGCTGCAAACCTGATTCAGCTCTATTAAGAAAACACCCAAGTCTTGACTTACTTGGATCTGTCAATCATTTGTTCCAGATGTATGTTCTGGAAAGTCCTCTACCATCCGTAGATGCTGCCACATATACCCCAAGCCCCCAGTGTCCTCAGCGTCATCAGGCTTATATTGCTTTCTTTGTCCTTCCCCACTAGGTTTCTCTTGCAGAAACATGGCCAGGTCTTCCACGGGATATCAGGGGCTTTTACTATCTTTGTGCTTCTTATTGATCATTATTTTTACATCCGTGTATATGCACATACTGTAGGTTTGCATGCAGGTGTACTCACATGTGATTACACTGTGTGCTTTGCACATGTGTAGTACCTGTGGAGATCACAGGCCAGGTTCAAATGCCAATCCACAGCATCTCTCACTGGCCTGGAGCCAGTGAGGGCCTCAGAGGTGCCTGTCATCTCTCTACAAGAGTGACTGGGCCATGCACAGCAGTGTCTATACCACCTCTTCCCATGACAGCCCCTGTGTAGCTCAGCTTGGAAAGATAACTTTGTTTCTATCTTCCTTGTATGTATGGGAGAAGAAGGAAAGAAGAACAAACCCAAGTTAGATGGGTGGAGTGGTGCAAGACCATAATCCCAAGACTATGGAGGGTAAGACAGGAGGATTGCTGTGTGAGGCCATGCTGGGTTACATAATAATATCCAACAGCACTTTCCAACATATAAAAACCCTGTATCAAAAACAAATAAAAAAAATAGAAAATAAATACTGGGTGTGGTGACACACGCCTTTAATCCCAGCACTCGGGAGACAGAGGCACGCAGATCTCTGTGAGTTTAAGGCCAACCTGGTCTACATAGTGAGTTCCAGGACAGCTGGAGCTACAGGGAGACATTGTTTCCAAAAGACCAAAGAATTTTTAAAAAGTAAAGTAATAAAAATTTAAAAATAAATAAAAACTCTTAGGAGTCAGAGGCAGGGGATCTTTGAGTATGGTGCCAGCCTGGTCTGCATAGTGAGTTCCAGGGCAGCTATGACTACATTGTGCAAGGCTGTCTCAAATAAACAAAGAAACAAAACCCCCCAAAATAAGGAGCTGGATTTTCCTCCTCCAGGCATGAATTGAGGCAGAAGCTTCAGCAAAACCAGGACATGGGACACAGAGTTGTAGAGCCACCACAAAGGGTCAGCACAGGGGGATAGTTTCTGATTGATACAAAGCCAGCAGCCTCCATCCCCTCCTGAACTGGCCCAAATGGGGGTAGAGGGGGGTCCTAATTGCTCTGCAATCCCTTTTTTTCCTCTGCCTTCCATAGGACCAGCAAAGCACTCTCCCCCACTGCTATGCATGCTGGGTGTGCCCTGTGCTCAGTCCTGTTCCAGCCATGAACCACAGAGTAACCAGAGGCCCTCTTTCCTTCTCACCACACAGGGATTCTGATTCATGAGAAATACAAGGGTTTTGTTTTGTTTTGTTTTGTTTTAATTTCTTTTAATTCTTTTTTTTTCACTTTTTATTTCACATGTACACATGTATTGCCTGTGTGTAGGCGATGGTACCCATGTCCTACAATGCCTGTGGAGGACAGAAGAAGCTGTCAGATCTCCTGGAACTGGAGTTATGGACAGTTGTTAGCTGACATGTCGGTGCTGGGATTCGAACCCGGGCCTTCTGCAAGAATAACCAGTGTTCTTAATCGCTGAGCCATCTCTCCAGCCTGAAATACAGGTTTTTCTGAGTTGCATACTTTCTCTAATTTTAACATTGAGGCTTTCGGTGGAGGATTGTGTTTAACGAAGAGTGTCCTGTATCACAGTCTAGCCTTGAATGCCTATCCTTTTGTGTTCACCACCCAGTGTGGGGATGACAGGCACGGACCACACTTCCAATTGTGTTCCATGCTGGGGAAGTGCCAAGTGAGTGACCTGGGTGTGCTGTGCACAACTGAGCTCTGGCCCTAGTTGTGCTGATTTTGTTCTTTGTTTGGTAGAGTGAGATGCTCAAACTAGACTGGAACTCACGATGTAGCTCAGGCTGGTTTTGCTCTTGTGACTATCCTCCTGCCTAAGGGTTTTGAGTCCTGGGATGACAGGCATGTACCACTACTCAGACTCTGGCATCTACTGTAAAGAAAACTCCAAGAACTCCCTAGAACTAGCTAACTCTGAGAGGTGGGAGCCTGCCCAAAGGGTGAACTGAGGAAACGCTCAAACAGTAGGTGAGGCTCAGACTGTCTGGATCCCATCAGCTCCCTAGTGTGAGCTGTTCTTGTGTCTTTTGTTCTTTTTTTCACACTGTTGCACAGAGGTCAGACAAAGCTGACGTGAGGACTGCATGCCGGAACATCCTTTCATCCTGGCTGCACAGGTGAAAGCCCCGGGAACCACTGTCTAGAGACTCTGATGTTCCTGGAGATAGGGTGGAGTGGGAGGCACAGTGTCCCTTCTCCATTGCTCCAACGCTGCCCACTGCTGAGTGAATCCCAAATGTCCAGCCTTGAGCTACTTTGCTGGACTTTGGTTTTGCTTAGGTGTGCCCGATTCTTCCCTTTGAAATAAGACAGTGATTGTTTTGGATTTTACAGAAGCCCACAATTAAGAGACTTTTAAAAGAGACTATGACTTTTAAGTGTTTGGATTTTTTAAGGATTATGGAGATTTTAAGGTTGTACTGTCTTATGTTGTGATATTAATGTTAACATCATGTCTTAGGGACAAGAAATGGAAAGGTTATGGTTTAATAGTGATGTGTTTGTGTGTCAAGTTGGCAAGGGGTCATCCTCTGGTTCCTTAAAGAAAGCTTGAGGCCAGGCATGGTGGCGTAGGCCTTTAATCCCAGCACTCAGGAGACCTTGTCTCAAAAGACTAAAAAAAAAAAAAAAAAAAAAAAAGACGTGGTGAGTGGTGCTGACCTCTAAATCAGGACCAGGGAGAGCAGAAGCAAGAGGTTCAGGAATTCAGCATCTACCACTGCTGCGTGCTAAGTCCCAGTGTAGACTGAGTGGTATGAAATCCAGTGTTAAAAAAATAAAATAAAATAAAAAGGATACGGCTACACATATAATAACTCAGTTGGGAGAATTCTTGTCCAGCATGCAGGAATCCCTGTGTGTGAGCCCCAGCATCACATCAAAAAGGTTTAGTGGATTCCAGCTGTGGGAAGTAGAGACAGACCAGGTCATCCTCAGCCACATAGAAAGTTTAAAAAAACATGCTAAGCCTGGGTACCTAGCTGCATTCCCTGCATTCAGTAGCTGAGGCCATAGGATGAACAGTTCCAGGTCAGTCTGTAGTATATACAGAAAACCTGTTTAAAAACAGGCAGCAAATGGACACCTGGTAGTGAGAGCAGACAATTAGAGCATCCCTAGGAGAATAAGAGTCACGTGCTTTGGCCAAAACCAAACAGAAGAACTGGAGGTGAGAATGAAATTGAGAGAAAATCAATAGTGAGGAGTAAAGTGTTAGAAGCGGCCAGATTGGCAAAATATAGATATTGTGTAGATAATTTGTGTGTGTGTGTGTGTGTGTGAGAGAGAGAGAGAGAGAGAGAGAGAGAGAGAGGGAGAGAGACAGAAAGGGGAGAGAGAGAGAGAGAGAGAGAGAGAGAGAGAGAGAGAGAGAGAGAGAGAGAGAGACCTTTTAGCATCTCTATATTCCAGTGAATTGAGGGCAGGGGAACAACATCTTTTTCATCAAGGGAACTCAGTGTCAGTCTGATTCTTTGACTCAAACTGACCCAGTTCCCTTCAGAAGAGTCTCATGGTTAACCTCAGTAGGCCAACCTGTCCGAGGGCCTGGAGCCCAGCAAGCATACTGAGGATGACATTCGCATAGTTGTTGAGGACAAGCTGGGGCACATGCAGTCCTAGGGTGCTTGTCCTGGAACACAGTGGAATCGGTTACTATCTTGTCAGATTTTGAAGTAAATGTCTGTTCTGTCACTTTCAGAGGACAGAAGTAGGTAAAGTACCTGGACTTGTTCTCAAAGTGGTAAGATGATACTTAGATATACTGTTGAAAATGGAAAATGTCCTGATACATGAAAAAGCCTGAACTCTTGCTCCCACAAGTTCAAAACAGAAAGGCAGGTGAACAGGGAGATCATCCATGTCCATCACACAGGCATCTGTGTGTTTCAGGCTGTGACACAGCTTGCTATAATCTGGAGAAGGAACATGACATTAGATCTTACCAACGTGATTGTTGGATGGACAGGGAAGGCTTTATCAAAGGTACCTAAAGGATGGCCAAGGATTGTTTACATGTGGATACTCAGAACCTGAACAGGCTTTGGAAACTGAAAGAGACTTTATGGTTTTATACAGCTGAGCAAAGACTCTGAGTAGAGCCCTGCCATGCTGGGCCCGAGGCAGGCCCAGAGCATGTGCTTCCCTGCTCAGAAGTGTCTCTAATTTGATGTTGGGCCAGAAACACACTGCTCCTGATTGTGTGGTATGTGGTTGTTCTCAAGGTGTCTGGATCTCGGTGTGCATGTGGAGACTGAATGGAGCAAACCTAGGCAGGCCCAGAGCAGGTGCTCCCTCCTCAAAAGTGTCTCTTAATTTGATGTTGGTCTGGAAACACACCACTCCTCATTGTGTGGTATGTGGTTGTTCTCAAGGTGTTGGGATCTCAGTGTGCATGTGGAGGCTGAATGGACTGGATGGAGCAAACCTGGAGGGGGAGGGGGAGGGGGAAGGGGAGGAAGGTGTCAGTTACAGAGTGGAATGGGTAGAGGGAGGATACACAGGTTTCCTTGAGGACACTGCCCAGCTGAGATTTTCCGAAGCTTCCTTCTGTGTGGGGTCTGAGGTCTCCTGTCTTGTAAGCAGCCATGCATCTTCCCAGGTCTTTGAAATGAAAGAGGAGGCTGTCCTTCAGAGGACTCCCACAGGGCTGCTTGGAGACTGTAACCTCAAAGCTGGAAGCCATCTTGTGGCAAGGCATGTAGATGTGGCTGACTCAGAATTACCTGCCTGGAGAGAGTCATTGCACCTGAGGAAGACCCTGTTCCCCACTAAGAAACATGAAAGGAAGGATAGCCATGACTCCACAGACAGACTTTGATGTTGAGCCAGGAGTGAGAACAGGACCTTCTCATCCCAGGGCAGCTCAGGGCCTTCCCCTGATCAAAGTCCTTCTGAAAGCCAGAACCTCCTGCCTGGGATTTTACCTGTATAGGTGTGCAGTGGTGTGTCCCATGTTTCCTGTACAGGTCAAAGGCCTCCTGCCTGGCCTGTGGCCTCCCAGCCACTTGGACATCCAGCCTGGCTTCCTCATGTGGCTGTTCACTTCTCCGCCAGGCTGACCCCATCCCATGGCTCAGGAGCCCTGGAACTGGGGATTTTCCCCTTCAGCACTTCAAAGCAGAAAGACACTGGAAGGGGGTTCTCAGTAACTTTCAATATAGAGGATGGCCTGCTGTCCCACAACTCCCCAAATGGTTCTCCAAAGAATCTTGGCTCCTTTTGGCAAACCAATCCTCCATCCCTGCATGCCTCTGGACAACATTCTCTAGTGTGTACTACTAGGGAAAATTCTCCAGGTTCCACTTGGGGGCACTCTGTGGGACTGGTCATCCTGAGGTGAGAGATGTGCTAAGTGACACTCTCCGAGTAAGTGCAATGACCATTGGTCACTTGCACAGGATGATAGGAAAAGCAGAGCTGGAATGAAGAGCACCAGTGCATCCTGACCACCCACCTACCTGCTTCTGTGGCTGACCCCATGGTCCCTTGGAGCCTGGTTGTTACCAGAGGTGGAGCGTCTCCTTCGGGCGGCAGGCAGCAACAGAGGCATCTGAGACAATTCATCATTGTCTTCTTCACACCCTTCCAGCCCAGGCAACAGCTTCGAGGGAAAGATGTGGTTGCACTCTGAGGCTGGCCAGCAGTGCTGTTAACTTCTGATGACATATCCCCGATGAAGGAGCCTCTCGGGGTGACACCCTGGGACACATCCCAGGAGATATTGGTTTCCAATGAGGACAAGCAGCAGGATGTGCCCTCATCTGTATGATTGGCAGTCACACCCTGGTGTGGCCTCAGAGGAGAGGATGGCTGACTGTCTACAGCCAGGCTGCCATAGAGCCCCATCTTGGAATATGTTAATTTCTCACTGATGTCTAGATTGCTGCTTAGAAGGGAATCGTCCACATCAGAACCCTGATTGGATAGGTGTTGGGGGCGGGTCTTCTTGGGTTGGCAGCACAGGATGGCAGGCATGCTATGCCTTCTACCACCCTGTTTGGAGATCTTTTCCTCCTCCTCCTCCTCCTCCTGGGGCTCAGGTGGGAAGTCAAAGGTGGGAAAAACAGGCTCAGAAGTTCTCCTTTGGGCACAGGGAAGGTGTGAAGATCTGTCAGGGTGACAGCAACACCTGCCTGCCAGAGCTTTCTTTGCCTGATGGTCACTCAGTCTCCCCAGGGTGCCTGGTGCTGCAGAATCAGGTATGTTGCCATGACCTGGTTGTATTTCTGGTATCTGAGAGACTGGCTGATTTCCTCGGGTTCATACCCTATGATCTTCATGGCCCTGACAATGCTTAGGCCAGATGGGCCTTCCGGAGTCTGTCTGCAAGTTGGTGGTGAACATGCCTCACCATCCCTCCATGATTTGGTCAGCAGTGGGCCTTCTGCCAGGGTGAATGATCAGCAGTTCAATGATGACAGTGAAAATATCAAGGGAGATGTAACTAGGAATGCTGATGTTGGCAGCCAGGACCTGCCGCCTTACTTCTGCAGGAGGAGAAGCTCCGAATGGGAAGTCTCCAGAGACCATAATGAAAAGGAGCACTCCCAGGCTCCAGCTGCCTATGGGATAGCCATCGTATGGCTCTGTCCCAAAGAGTTTGGGAGCACAGTAGGGCAGAGTGCCATGAAAATCCACTATCCTCTCCCCAGGTTGGACTTTAACTGCCAGACCCAAATTGCTCAACTTGGCATTTCCCCTGCCATCAACCAGGATGTTTTCGGCCTTTATATCCCTGTGCACAATGCTGTTGCTATGGCAGTACTGTACTGCACATAGTATCTGGCTAAACCACCGTTGGGTCTCCTGGTCCGGTAGAGAGCCCCATTCAAGGATGTGCATCCTCAGCTCTCCCTCTGAAGCAAGCTCCATTACCATGTAGGTGCTGTCTCTGGTTTCTACCACGTAAAAAGCCTAATGATGTTAGGATGACATAGGTCTTTCATAATATTGATCTCACTGGCCATAAAGGAGGCATTCTCCTTGTTCTTTCTAAGGATTTTAACAGCAACACAGTTGACTGTGGGAATATGGCAAGCAAGTTTGACTTCTGCGAAATGTCCTCTACCAAGGGTCATCACCATTTTATAATTTGTGCTGTAGATCTCATCAACAGGAGAACAGGCCTTCATGTCCCGCTCCATGATGGATTAGAAACAACCTCACCTCCAGAATTAAAAAAAAAAAAAAGAAAAGAAAACCTAAAATATTAAGGGCATGCCTGTGAGAGATTTTATAGGCCTAAATTTCTACATCAAAAATCAGACACATCTCACACCACCTCCTGAAGCACCTCAAAGGCACAGGAGGGTGAGACCAAACAACTCCAAGACAGGAGACAGGAAGCAGAACAGAGATCTGGAAGTTGGTAATGACTAGACAATGGAAAGTAGAAAATGAAGGACGCAGGAACCAAAAGTTGGTTATTGGAAAGATCATGGGTGTGGCAAACCCTCGCCTCACGTAATGCTGAGAGAAGCATAAATAATATCAGAATCAGAAAAGGCTGACATTACAACTGATGCCGTCGAAACCCGGAGAGTCAGTAGGGAATATGAAAAGTAGCCTCCCAGGGAAGAGGAGATTCTGGAATTATTGGACAAACTTCTGTTAATACATGACCTTCAAAACAACTGAGAGCTTATAAAACACCAAAATGATCAATAATAAACAATTTTGAAGCCTTAATAAGACTCTCTGAACACAGGAAAGCTCATAACCACATTGAGACACTGACTAATTATACCAGATGTTTAAAGAACAAATATTGATGCTCCTCCAAGTATTCCATAAAACAGACAGGGAAGGAGCCATTGCAAACTCATTCTGGAAAACCAATACTAACTTGATGACCTATCAAGACTAAGTGAGGACACTGTCATGGTTAGTTTGTGTTGTCAACCTGAAATACCTAGGAAGAGGTAACTTCAACTGACTAATGACCTCTATCAGATTGGCCTGTGGACCTGGTTGTAAGCTGAGTACTAGTGGACATGGACAGGCCCAGACAATTCTGGGTGGTGCCAGCCCTGGGCAGGTGGTGCTGGGTTATATAAGAAAGCAGACTGAGCACAGTCCAGAGGAGCAAGCCAGTAAGCAGCTTTGCACTGTGGTCTGTGCTTTAGCTGCTGCCTCCAAGTTCAAGCCCTGAGCTCCTGCCTTGGCTTCCCTTGATGATAGACTGTGAGCTGTAAGCCAAGTACATCCTTTGCTTCCCAAGTCACTCTTTTGGCCTTTTTGAGACAAGGTCTCCCTGTAGCCCCAGCTGGCCAAGAACTCGCTATGTAGAACATAGCAGGCCTCCATCTCAGAGATCACCTGCCTCTGCCTCCTGGGTGATGGGATTAAAGGCATGTGTCACCACACCTGGCCCCAAGTCAGTTTTCTTCAGAATACATTATTCCAGCCACAGAAACCAATTAGGAGAGATGCAGAAATTGGCAGTTGGTAATGACTAGACAACTGAAAGTAGAAAATGAAGGATCCAAGAAGCAAAAGTTGGTTATCAGAAAGACCTTGGATGTGCCAACAATACGTTTCCTTGATAAAAATGGATGTGAAAATTCTTAATGAGACTATTTAATACACCACACCAAATTTCACAACCTATTTAAAAATTATACTGCAGAATCAAGATACGCTCACACAGCTACTCAAGGATTGCTCCACATGCGTAAACCCACGAACAGTACATCACAGAAGCAGAATTGAGGGCAAGCGTCCCATTGTCAACCCATAGTCAGCCAAAAAGAAGATGGAATATTGTCACTTTCAGGAAAACAGGTGGAACTGGAGAGGATTGCTTTCCCAGGAAGCCAGTCACCCAATTCAGGTATCATTTGTTTTCTCCCACATGTGGAATTTAACTGTACAGGGAAGTCCTGGATGTAAATGGGGACTGCTAAGAATGTGGAAAGGGAAGCAGTTTGGAAAAAGTGAAATAGAGCTGGTTAATGATTAGTATGATCAAGGGCCAGTACAGGCATGTATTGGATTGTCCTAATCTAACTCCTTATATTGTACAGTCAGTGCATACTAAGAAAAGAAATAAAATAAGAGAAATTAATCAAAATAAAGTATGTCAAAGATAAATGAAAATGGGAGAAATGGGAGGTAGTTTATAAAGATAAATGCAAACACAGATCAAACAAAGAACAAACAAGTAAATAAATAATTGGAACAGAACCAAAATACTAATCCTCAAACAAACCCAACTTTGAATGAAGTGCACTATGTGTAGATCCAACAAACTCAAAAAAGTCTAAGTGAAATCCTTCACTAATGTAGAAATTCAGCAGCTATCTCAGCAGTGGGTTGTTAAGTACAAAATGATCAAGAAATGACCTGTCTGCCACAATCCTATAGAGAACACCAACTTCTTTGCTGCAGTTGTGGGAAACAGAGCCTGTCCTTCCTCAGAATGCCATCTTGTGAGATTAGAGCAAGAAACAGAACAATCACAGCTGGATAAAAGCCCCACTGGTCTTCCTCACTTTCTGCTCATAACAACAGGGAAGACATAGCTGTGGAAGAGGCTGGTCACTGCCTCAGTAGGGACTTGAGGAAGCTGGTTACACCTGAGAGACTTTAGTGACTCCATCTTGGATAAAACCTCCATGGGACGACTGACCCAGCCCTGAATCCTGTTCCAGGAAAAACCACACAAAAAAAGTATACTTAAAATGGGTAAAGAACAACTCCCCCACCAATGGTCAATTAACCAGGGACTGAAAAGTACTAAAAGTCCAAATGTCTTTTCAGATTTCCTAAAGCCAGTAGTTTATGGTTTGACACTGGGCTGCAACCAATCAGATGCTTACCAGGCTAGAGACCCCACTCCCCTACATGCTGAACTTGGTAAAATAGACCTATTAAAACCTCTGTCTCCCAAAGCAAGGGGTCTCACTTCTGAGATCCGCTAGGTCAGTGACAGAGTGGGCCCAAGCTTGGGCTTGTAACAATAAAAGAACTCTCCTGTATTTGCATCGGTCAGCTCCTTGGTGGTCTTTGGGGTCTCGTGAACTGGGCACAACATCTTGGGGGCTCATCTGGGATCCACAAGACGCCCCCCTGCCCCAGGACCCCCAAACCAGAGGGTTCCTGGCTGGCCAGTAAGTGTCTGTTTGTTTCTAGTTGTGCCTGTCTGTGTCTGTCCCAGCTTTTGTCCTGAGCCTTGAGGCAAACTTGTGAACAGTGTGGTCAGGAGCAGTTAGAGTGGATGCGCTGGACGACCATGACCACAGAGGTCTGGAAGACATTCCAGACCCTGGCAGAGGGGACGGAGGGCCCGTGTACTCTGTTGATTCCTGTAAAACGATAAGGCGGGTCACTCCTGCGGCATGGCAGTTCGCCACTATCCTACTTTCAGTTTCTCTTCCGCACCAGTGGGGGAATTTGCTACTTGGCCTTCTGTGTGTCTTTCTGGCTCTCTGCTTTGTCTTTGGTTGTCTATTTCTCTGTGACTGAGATGGATGCAATGGAACAGACTCCGACTCCCTCTACACCCCTGGACCTGGTTCTTACACATTTTGGAGAGGTTAAGACTAGAGGCCATAACCTTTCTGTTGTTGTCAGGAAGGATAAACTACTTTCTGCAGGTCTGAATGGCCCACTTTCAATGTGGGATGGCCCTCAGCGGGGACCTTTGATCCTGCTGTCATTAATGCAGTTGAGAAAATTATTCTTCAACCACGTATGGGACACTTGGATCAAATATCATACATAATGGTCCAGGGAGATTCAGTTAATAACTCCCCTCCTTGGGTCAAGTCTTTTCTTCCTTTACAGAAAACTGAGGTGCTGACAGCTGCAGAACAGCCCAGAAAGCACCTAAGCCTGAAACCAAACCATCAGTACTGGGTATGTCTTACAGGGCAGCAAAGAAGATCTAATTTTTCTTCCCCCTCCTTATCCACCTCCTCCACAGTAGGTACCCCCTCTGGACCTGGCACCCCTGGTGCCAGATTCTTCAAGGCACAGGGGGGACCAGCTCAGGGGACTAGGAGTAGAAGGGCAGCAACACTGGAGGATCCAGACTCTACTGTTCTACCCCTCAGAGTCACCAGCCCCGCACATGAGGCTGGCAACCAGCCCCCATCACTATTGACCATTCTCCACTAGTGACCTTTACAACTGGAGAACCCAGACTGCTCCCTTTTCTGGAAATCCTAAGGAGCTTATTAATTTATTAGAAACTGTCTTATTCACACACCAACCCACTTGAGATGATTGTCATCAATTATTACAGGTCCTGTTTACCACAGAGAAAAGGGAATGTATCCAAATAGAAGCCAGGAAGTTAATTCCTGGCAATACTGGTGTCCCTACTACTGACCCGACACTGATTGACGCTGCCTATCCACTGACCCAGCCTGATTAAAATTATAATACTGCATAAGTTAAGGGGAGGCTTCTGTTTTACTGCCAGGCTCTGTTGGCAGGTCTCAAAGTGGCTGCTCGTAGGCCAACTAATTTGGCAAAGGCACACAATATTAGTCAGGAACTAAATAAAAGTCCAGTTGTGTTCTTAGGGCGAATAACAGATGCCTTCCACAGGTATACTCCATTAGACCTGGAGGCCAAAGATAACTTAGTGGCAGTGGCCATGGCTTTTGTTAACCAGTAGGCTCCAGATATAAAAAAGCTCCAAAGAGTAGAGAGATTGGGTAAAAAGGGCTTAAGGAATTTAATAACTGTGGCCAAAAAAGTGTACAATAATAGAAATAGTACAGAGAAAAAATAGATAAAAGCAGAAAGGAAGCAAAACAAAGGCCTGGCAAGGATCCTGCTGGCTGCCACTGTGGATCCAGAGAACTGGCAGAGGCATCTGAGACAGCGTTGGGGAAAGGAGTCTCTTGCAGTATGTGGATGACCTACTTGTGGCAGCAGACAGCCAAGAGGCTTGCATGGATGGCACAGAATGCCTGTTCCAGATGTGGGGAAGCCTGGGCTATCAGGACTCTGCTAAAAAGGCCCAACTATGCAAACAATAGGTCCAATACTTGGGCTATATACTCAGAAAAAAAAAACAAAAAACACTACTGGTAAAAGATGCTGACAAACTGACTTTGGGCCAGAACTTGACCATTACCACACCACATGCAATCAAAGGAGTTTTAAAGCAGCCCCTGGACAGATGGCTAAG